CGATGATGTCAAGAGCACTTTCTGCGCCCAGAAATCATAGCGTTTTGAGTCGGCGGGAAGGTTCTCAGCGGCTGCAAGCTGGCATTGAAGGGCCGCGACAAGAGCCGTGAATTTTCCGTTTTTCCAAGATGCCGTGAATTTCTATTTAGTCCTCTCCGAAATTTTCCCCCACCTCTGGGCATTGTTCTCATGAAAGAATACTCATTCATCAATTTGGAGGGGATTCGAAGATCTAGGTTAGGATATTTGTGGCATTGCACATTCTCATGTAAGACAGGATCCGACTCGGTCACAGAATGGAGAGGATCATTTGCGGTAGCAAACGGCCGCCCTTGAATGGAGGCGTGGAGACTTCCTCCTAGATACGGTTCTTATCTTTACCCCATTCTTACGGACGCTCTTACGCGTCGTCACAAACGTATCTGCCCAGAGTGCATGTTGTATACATATTACTCGAACAAGATGAATTCACGCCTCAGGCGAGAACAGCGACGTGAGGGCAGCAGCAGGGAAAGCAGCGGGAACGGTGGCACCGATGCACGATATATAAATTAGGTGCAGCATGAATATCAGCCAGCATCACACCCGATGTCAGTCCGCCCGTCGCTGCTCACAATCCTCGCAAAAAACGCGGAAAGCACGCGGCCATTTGAGGCATCGAGTTGGATAGATCCACTGTAAAGCAAACAACATTCTCGCAAGTATGGCAAACGAGAGGGCAATCGTCCTCGCTCCCCGACGATGTCAGCGCATAGCAAATCGAATTTGGTCTTGCGCTTGGGTCATCATTGGAGTCAACTCTTTCACGTAGAGAGAGAGATCTCTGAAAGGGTGCTCTCGATTACCTACATGTGAAAAACTCTCTCTACCCCGAAACTCTAGCTTGATGCAGCGATCGGCGATCGGGGTTCAACGCTGAGATGGCATTTGATTCGATTTTAATTGCGCCGGGCTACCGTCTAGAATTGAACCCTGCTGCCTCCACGAATGAGGTTGCTCTAATCAGAGCGCTCTCTCCGTATCTATGGCTGCCCTGGGCGATACATTCTGACGGGTTCATTGATGTCGAAATCCTCGCTTTCCAAAATACTAGATAATGAACCCTCCCCATAATTCTTCTGAAATTCTGCGAATCTCGGAGACTATCGGCGTCGGGAGCCAAATTGCATCGCAGAGATCCTCCCCATCGGCCCTTCCCACCTTCAGCTATGAAAGAAACTCTGGGATATTTAAAGAAGAAGTCCCGTGTTGTATGCGATACTACGCTGTCTTCTTCAGCTCTACCCGATCGCTGCTGAGGAAAATGTGAGTGAGCGACGAGCCTCACTTCTTTCCATCTTAATCGGATGAGTGCTCGGCGCAGCTGCCGAGAGTTGGCAGCTCACATTCTGGGGTTGTTCTCTTCTCTATGGGTCTGACAACTTGGCCGAGTCTCGACGACATCGGCATGATCCCGTTCCAAAACGAAACATTTCGATCGTTATGCTGAAGGATAGGCATCGAGGATGCGCTTCATCATTCCGAATCATTGCTCCCCCAAAAGGAAGTCCATGCATGCCAGTGGTAACATCTGATCTCTCTTTCCAGGATTCGCGTAGCAGTACTTATGACTCTGCTTGCGTCAACTTCACTAGCGGGAAGTGAAATAACTTGTCCCAGCTCAGAGCCCTTGAGGCACCTCGATTGTAGTTGCTCTGAGGACTACGGCATCACGGTTAAATGTTACGCTACTTACTGGGAATCAGCAACACCTGGGAAAATCGCTGCGCTTCTTAAAGATGTGAATATCACCGTAAGTACAGATCCCGATTTGACTTTTTCAGAGACAAATTACGTCTCATATCAAGTGCTCTCGCCAGTTATCTCCAAAAAGCACCAAACGAACGATTTCGGGCTACTACTGGCCCGATACTCGACTTTTTTCGAACTTCAATGAGGAAAATCAATGGGATCTTGAATCTTGACCAACATCGAACCTCCGACTTCGCAGAGCTTCGAGATAGTCGGACAGCTGAAAATAGAAAAAAAGAAAGAGGTAAGAGTTCTTGACATAATGACACCCTAGCTCGCCGCGGACACAATCAGATTTTGATCGCTGAATCTTCCTCTCGCAGACATTCGTTCCTCGGATTGTCGGCACACTGAAATCCCACCTGATCGGACAATCGGAAGGCGTGGGCAAAACTTTCTTCTCCCCTTTCTGCAATCTCACAATACAGCGATTCATGCTCTCTGCTTTCAAATACGATGGCGCTCCCCCTGAATGCCCATTCGTTGACTGGGTTTTCAGAGTCTGCGAAATGGACCTCTCAGCTTATCTCTCCGCCATTAGGTAAGTGACTCATCCAGGTCCTCAAGTTATCCGGAACTATACTCTAGTCGAGTACTCAATACTCCCGGGCATTGTATAGTTCTAACGGAGCGTCGGTGAGGGAAGATTTGAGCGCCGGAATCTCCCAGCCCTCGCAGATCTTTGCTTCCAGGATACACTCGTGGCGTGAGTATTGCGCTCAAATGACGCTCCCATTTGAGCGTACTCTGCGCGCTGAAGAGACCTCAGTTTACACCCAATCCATATTCTTCAGGATCGAATGTAGATTGTGGCGAGAAGGAATCCCGAGAGGATTTCACTCGGGTTGTGATTTCCTTACTCGGTGCCCCTCCTGATTGGAGAAACTAAGCCCCTCTATTTTTCATCAGCTCATCAGTGACGACTCTAAAAATCGACGTTTGTGAGAATTTTGACTGTAAGATTCAGCTGTTTCCTCTGAATTTATACCACAGACTGTCATTACTGAGCGTCTGAATCCACGCTCATAAGATCAAAACATACAGCACCTTTCCCGAGTTGGTTGCATCATTGTCCGGACTGTTTTCCAGTTGGGAGCCTCCGAAATCTGAAGAAATTAAAATCCCTGACAATCGTCTACACAAAAATGACGGAGCTCACCGCAAGGATTCTCCCGCTGCAAGCAGTCGAACTTGAAGAGCTGAGAATAATCTTTAGCGGTATCAGAAGCGTCAGCCCTGATTTATTGACGAGTCTGCCGAAATTGAAGAAATTAGATCTCTCGCATAACAGAATCGAATACTTTCCCGAAGAGGCACTGGGGGATCGACCGATGAAACTGTCGCTTGTGGGTAAGTACCACATCAACGGATCTTATAGAAATTTCGGCCCTCGTTCAAGTTTCTTTGCATTAACTCACCCACTGCGCTGCTGAGGAAAGGAAACGCATGAGTCTCACGACCGGAGTTTTTCCCCAGGCAATCCTCTCGATTGCCAAAGGATGGATTGGCTGAGGAAACGAATTGCGACGAAATCGATCGAGTTGTTGGATGAGGAGCGTGTTTTTTGTAAGCCTCGAAGCTTCATGGATCCCAGTCTCACGGACTATGTCCGATTCAAAAAAACTCCTCCCTATCTGCGTGTTCTCCCCGAGAGACTGCTTCACATTTTCGGAAGTTGGAACAAATAAAGCTGGTGAGAGTCCGGACGGTCGAATTTTTGTTTGAATCTAGAAATCACGGATTTTGTAAGGGTATGCGGTGATAGTTCCAATAATCCTCCAGAGAGACCGTGAAAGCATTCCGTGACACCACACACCACAGAGGCACCTACAGCATTAGTCCGGGATGACCGAGCCGTTTCCCGAAGTCGTTCTAGAAGCGCTCTGAGGTGCTCGAGGTGCTGCAGGGTGACTAGGAGTCCCGCGTGGAGTGTTCTCTTCAGGGAAGACACGAGAAAGCAACAGGCTCGTGCGCTAGTGTGAAAGCGAGTGGGCTTTTTATTTCAGCTCCGGTCACTTCTCGATAGAGTTGGGTGGAGTAGGTTTAGACCAGATGGCGGGAACACAACATTTCTCCCTTCGTAGACGGTTGCCGAGCTCTTAGCGACGGAAACCAGCTAACCTGACGCAGTACGCCCAACCCTTTGCGGCTCGCGCCGGCTGAACGCGAAGCGTTCGAGATGACCCCGACGGCGCGGTGGTAGGAGCCTCTTCTGGCTCCGGAGAAATTGCGCCAACTGTTTGGAATCAGGAACAGCCAGAGGTGGGGAATCTGTCGGGGCCCCAGGCCCAGGAGCTTGCAACCGTCTGTGCACACTGAATGCAGGATCTGACCATTGCTTCAATATCAGAAGACATCTTCGGCCAGTAGAAATGAGCTCGACCGAGCGCCTTCATTCGGACGATGCCGGGATGGCCTGCCTGGAGCTTATTCAAGACTGAAGCCCGCAGTTTCATAGGAGCAATGACCCGATCGCCGCACTGAAGAACGCCGTCCGTGTTGCATAGGCTCTCGGCCTGCTGGGCAAAGGGTCGCAGCTCCGGGTCCTGGAAATCAGATTTCTGCCAACCACCGATGAGATGCTTGGGAACGCGGACCAACAGCTGGTCAGATTCCGTAGCCGCTCTTATTCTTTCTCCCGTTGGAGTAAAGGCTTCCCCCAAGCTGACCAAGCTCCGGACCTCCGATTCTTCAGTTTCGAGAGAAGCAATAACCTCCCCAATCCCGCAGTTCTTCGCTTTGTTCCGAGTATCGTTGATCAGGCGCGAGAGGGCGTCCGCGAGCCCGAAGTCGGTAGTCCAAACGTATTCAATCTTGAAATCAAAGCCGACCAGCCTAAGCGCCCATCGGCGTAGACGAGCCGCCGTACGCTCGCGTCGCTCGCTCAGACCTTTAGTTTGAGATGTGCGAAACAGCGCCAGTAATGGGCGATGGTCGGTTCGAAGGGTAAATCGTCGGCACCAGACAAAGTTTTTTCAGACGTTCCACTGTGGTGACCAGCGCCAACGCCTCTTTTCCCATTTGATTAAGATAGTCGCATACTCTGGTCTTTGGTCCGGCATGATTTCTCTTATGCCTATGTATTTCAAATCAAACGATATCTACACAAGTCGTGTGAATAAACCGAATATATAAGAAGTAGGCTCTTCGGCTTCTTTCTGCGAAATTTTATTCGTCACCAGCGTTCCCCCCTATAACCACCGGTGGGATTCACAGAACACGCTCCCAAACCACGACGATCGGTTCAGCCGTTTTCGAGTGTATAGGGTACCCGGATATAAAGACAGACATTCAAAGATTTTTTATTTGTCGATTCACGTTTTTATATGTGTAGAATATTCGATTATTATTGAGCCTGGTCGAGGATATACTCGATCAACGCTCGCGCGGTCGCCAGGATGTACTCTGAAAAAGCAAAACACTTAGTTAGAGAAATAGGTTCGGGAGGGCTGGTCTATGGGATGCTCAATAAGAACCCCATGGAATGATTTCATACCCAAAATTTTTTTCTCGATCTTGCGCGGTCCCTCGGTGGACTCCGCTTTTTTTCGCGAGTTTTGGTCCCGGTTCTTCAGCTCCGCGACCACCGCCGCGTTCTGATTGAGGACCTCCGCTTGTGCCGCCCCACAAGCGTGGGCGATCTTGGTCGTTCCGATTTCCATCACGATGTCGTTTATGTCGGACATTGCCCTCGCAATGTCCGACAGGAGAGCCAGAAGCTCCTCCGTATCCCTTTCGTGCACGCTCTTCACATCGAACATTGTTTTTCGATGGAGCCTGATGCGGCAGCATTCCTCGATAGCGGCCCCCTCCGTTGTATGGAGAATCGCCCTAAGGAAAAAAAGCATGATTGCAATCTGCGGAGAGGAGAGAAGAGGCTCGAAAATTTTGCATGCATGGGATCATCTATTGGCATGGAACGAGCGTATACTCGGAGTATCATTCTATTGGCCAAG